CTTTAAAAGTTGTCATATAGCTGGGCTCAGTGGCTCAACCTGTAATCCCACACCTTGGGAGGGTGAGGTGAGTGGATTGCCTGAGCCTGCGGGTTTGAGACCCGCCTGGGCAACTTGGCGAGACCTCATCTCTACAATAAATCAAAAAAATTAGCCGGGTGTGGTAGTGCATGCCTGTAGTTCCAGCTACTTGGAAGGGTGAGGCAGAAGGATCGCTGGAGCCCAGCAGGTCGAGGCTGCGGTGGCCGGGAGTGGCCACTGCACTCCAGTCTGGGCAACAGAGTGAGACTCCAACTCAAAAAAAAAAAGTTGTCATATAATAATTTTGCTTTTTTTCTCAATCATGTTAGAGCCTATAGCCTTTCTTAGAGCAATCCTGTATTCACATAAGAGCTGCATTTTCAATATGAGATAAAAATGTATTTCACAAAAAGGGCAAGGATTTTGTACCTGCTCATGAGTTTCCTTCTCTCTTCCTTTCCTTCTTTCTTTCAACAGTGATCTTTAGGCGGGATTCATTTATCTTGAATTGGCAGATAACAGCAGCTAAGGACCTCAATCTATAGTACATACCAAACAATTCAACTGTTTCATGAAATGTCATGACTTTTCTCTGCTTCTTGGGTGCACTTTAACTTATGATACTCTGTATGGGTCCCACCATGTCATTCAAGATTTATGGCACTTCATTAAACATGATAAAGATTACACGAGAAATTTGAAAGATCACTTTTTACTGTGATGCACAATTTACTGGAGAGGTGAACTGCTTATGTGGACATCATTATGGTCACGGGACATTTTAAGCTGACTCGCACCACTTGAGCTCACCGCAATAGCAACAGAAGGTTATAAAATTATTATAGTAGTATTAACTACAATTAATTTTAGGCAGTTGTGATTTAATATTGTACAAAACTATGATTAATTTTATGCAGTTATGATTTAATGCTATATCTTTACGTTTGTTTACATTCTCTTACTATGAATGGTCCCATGGTCTATGTTTGTATGCATAAGTTTTGATAAATTTAAACTTTTAACGATAGATTTGTGTATATTTTATGGTAGTAAATTATAAAATAAGCTAGTATCTACATATATTTTATGCATTCAAGATACACCTTGTTCTTAATATTTTCAACATTTCTAGGCTGCATATGAGTTTTTTCAAGTTGTCACAAATCTCCAAAAATATTTTCAATATATTTATTGGAAAAAAAAACCCTACATAAAAGTGAACCTGTGTCATTCAAATTCTTGTTCAAGGGTCAACTGTATACAATACTCGGTGCACACTAAAGAATTATGAGACAAGAGTAATATATTATAGAAACTATAAGAGATACAAAATGAAGAGATGAAGAATTTCAACAGGGAACTGGCATCCACCAAGCATTACCAAACAGATACCCTAGAACTGAAAAATAAAATATCTGAAATTTAAAATTCAGTGAACATAAATCATCTTTAAAAATCATGCTGATTTAAAGAATCAAGTGGAAAAGGTAGACAGCATATAAGAACAGATATGGAATTTCAGTAGAAAGATGAAGATTAGAAAAAAGGAGTTAAGTGGAAATGCTAGAAATGAAATGGTGATATCAGAGATGAAGCACTCCTTGATGGCTCATCAGGAAACCCAAATTAGCCAAGGAAAGAAAATGGTGCTTAGTGCCTGGTATGTTTCTTATGAGTACTACAGTACAATCATGTAAATTCCATATTTGGCTCAAGTTTTTTATTTTTTCCTATAATAAAGCCTGATCTTTTTTTTTTTTTTTTTTTTTTTTTCAGTTGAAGCCTCACTCCGTCGCCCAGAATGGAGTGCAGTGGCCTCGACCTGCTGGGCCCCAGCAATTCTTCCGCCTCAGCCTTCTAACTAGCCGAAACTACAGGCGCGCGCTACCATGCCCAGCTAATTTTTTGATTTATTGTAGAGATGAGGTCTCGCCAAGTTGCCCAGGCGGGTCTCGAACCTGTGGGCTCAGGAAATCCACTCACCTCAGCCTCCCAAAATGCTGGGATTACAGGCTGAGCCACCGAGCCTGGCTAGCCTGACCTTTTTAATGGTAAAAAAATACTCATTGGTTTTTCTGTAATACACAGCATAAGACAAGATTAGCAAACCCCAACCATGTATATGGGAAATATCTAACCTGATATACAGAAGGCATAAAAAATGGAAAGGACAGAAGAGAGATAAGAGATATTTGGGACACACCCAAATAGTGTGTGTGTGTGTGTGTGTGTGTGTGTGTGTGTGTGTGTGTGTGTAACTGAAGTTCTAGAAAAGGAGAAGAGAGAGAATAAGGAAAAAAAAATATTTTTAAAATGTCTGGGAATTTTACAAAACTGATAAAAGCTATTAACTCCTAGGCTGGAGAAATTCTGTGCATTCCAAGAATACGTAAAAAGACAATCACATCTAGGCACATCACAGATTGCCAAAAATCAAAGATAAAGAGGAATATATTTAAGAAAGCCATATAAAAAACACACATTACCTTTAAAGGAGCAACAATAACAATGGAAATTGAATTTTCAACAAAACTCAGAAGACAGTGGAATAACATGTTTAAAGCGCCTGGAGGTGATAAAAACTGTCAACCTGGAATTCTGTCCTAAGCAGAATAAAGGTGAATTCAATTCATTTTCAGACAAACAAAAGCTGAGTGACTTTATGGCCAGTCAAATCATAACCATGGTACAAAGAAATACTATTAAAAAAAGTTATTTTAGATAAATGGAAATCATAATCATCCCTCACTGAAGCATGAAACTGCAGGAAGGCATGAAGAACACAGGAGGGGTAAATGTAAAAAGAATACTGATGTGTAACAATAACACGCTAATATAATATAAATACAAATGACACTTACATCCGACAGGCTTATCTGCATGCGTGTGGCAGGAAGATGCAACAGCAGAGGGACGGGGCCACAGGCAGAGGACGTCTGCCGGACTCCCATCCTGTCTGGGAAGTGGGCAGGGCCAACAGACTCAGGAGCATATGATAATCTCTCAGGCAACACCAGAGAATAATACATAAAGACATTACTACAACTCTAATAGATGAGATACAACAGAACAGAACGTTTGATTAATCTATTAGAGAGCAGCAAAAGAGTAAAGGAATAAAAACATGAGATACATGAAATAGCAAGATGGCAGACTTAAAATTAACCACACACGTGATTATCTTGAATGCAAGTGGATTAAACACTCTAATTAAAAAACAAAGACTGACAAGCCAGATAAGGAAAAGAAGGCCCCGCTGTGTGATGTTTACATAAGATGCACTTTAAGGCCAGTGTCAGGACACAGAAAAGTTGAAAGTAAAAGGATGGAAGATGTGTCATGTAAGCACTAACCACAATAGCAGCGGTATGCCTGAATTAATATCAGACAATACAGACTTTAAGGCAAGAAATAAAAATGAGAAATAGTTTACAATGACAGAAAGGTAAATTCAAGTCGAAGAGAGAACAATTCTAAATTTGTAAGCATCTGATAAAAAAAAAAGTTCTAAAATATATCCAGCAAAACTGACATAACTAAAAGGAAAAATATACAAGTTCACAATCACAGCTACCTCAATAACACGCCTCTCTCACTAACTGATAGGCCAAGTTTAAACAAGTCAGTAAGGATACAGATTTGAGCCATGGGATTCATCAGCATGACTTGACATATGTAAAACATGTCATTCAATGTCAACAAGACATTCTTTTCAGGTGCGTATTAAACATTTACCAAAATGCATCACCTGTTAGGCCATACAGCACAGATTTCAAAGGACTGGGGTCACAGAGAATATGTTATCTCACCAACAACCAGGTGAGTAGCTTGGAAGCAGAAGCCCTGCCCCAGCAAAACCTTCAAGCGAGTGGCAGCCTCAGCCTATGGTGGACCCCAGCCTCATGAGAGACCCCGGCCAGAAATACCAGATAAGCCCCTTCCACAATTCTCGATTCTCAGAAACTGTGCGAAATAGTAACTTTTTGTTGTTCTAGCTGCTAGGTTTGGGGGTAATTTGTTATGCAGCAATAGAAAACTAATACATTTTCTAGCTTCTTCAATTCAAAATTTAGATGATCAATTTTATACATTTCTTCTTTCCTAATACCCGGGTTTAAAAGTGATAAATTTATCTCTAAGTACCAACTAAACTTAAAGAAAGTAGAAGGAAATGCAGAAACCAGTGAAAAGTAGAAGGAAAAGCAGAAACCAGTGAAATAGAAAACATACACCGCAAACTCGAGGAAGCCCCAGATTCATTTTTGTGAAAAGATGAATAAAATCGGTAAATCCCTAGCAAGAGTGATAGAGAACACAATGTCAAGGATGGAAAAGGAAACATTATTATAGCTCTTAAAGATAATGAAGAAATATGAAGATCTTTACACTGATACATTTGACAACTTGGATGAAATGAAAAAACTCACTGAAAAACATATTTTCCAAAAATGGACATGAAAAGAAACAGAAAATCTGAATAGTCTTACATCTGTCAAAGAAATCTAAGATGTTTTTAAGATCCAGTCACACACTCAGCACAAGAGACCAAGTCACAAAGAATCTTTGCAGCCTGGGCAGAGAACTTTAAACAGAGGGCTGACCCTTGGTGGGAAGGTTAGGGGTGCCCGCCGCCGGGCAGGAATGTGCCCTGGGCTGGATTTCACTGTCCCATGTGTAGGTTGAATGCTCAGCAACCAGGAAGGGTCAAGGCCAAGGAAGAAGTGGTAAATGTCCCTCCAGGCCCTCTCTGGCTCATCCCTCCCCTCCCTCCTGGCCAAAGATGTCATTGCAGGAACTTCTGGCAGAATTCAGGTGAAGGGGCCTTCTCTCCCACACAAAAGCAAGTAAGTGCAACAGCTATGATAACGTTTGTGTCTAGGGTTCCAGGGTGAGGAGAAGGAGAGAGGCAGGGGCTGACATCAGACATTCTGTCACACGAACTGGCAGGAATACACTGATAAAAATGAAAACAAGGTGGCTTGTTCACAGTATTCTCTTTCTTTTAATGCAGCTTAAACGTTCTACAGCCTCAGTAAAGGAACAGATTTTTTAAAACAAAACAAAACAAGACAGAAACCAGGCTGTCTGTGAAATACACCATAATAACATTTAATCCTGATCCCCCCGCACCTCCAACAAGCAAAGACACCTGAGAAAAACAAGACACCGTTTCTCATGTCTGAAGATATCTCCATCAGTACAGTCACTGTTTGTCACTGGTATTTGTAAACATTTCCTGATTCTTAATGTTTCGTATCAAAAAATATACTTTGGGACCGTGATGCTGGTGGGCCAAGCCAAAGGTTTCCAGCGAGAGTTGAAAATTGATGCTCTTTGTTCAAGGTCGATCCCAATTTTTTTTTTAGTTTCATTACTTCATCCTGTAGCTTTCTGGCCTTTGGGGAGAAAAGGAGGGGATGAAAGTTAGAAAGGCTGGCAGGACTCAGGATGTCACCACCTCTCTGGCTCACAGACTCCGCGTGGAGCCCAAGGCATCTGGGAGAGCAGAGCCTTCCCCAGGGCGCCTTGGCGGGCCATATCACGGCACGGCCCCCTCTGCAGTGGGGCCTGTGAAGCCTGCTCTCGCCAGCTTTCATAATGACATCCCCCTCTGGAGGCAGACGCACGGCTACTCATCTTTGCATCCTCCACAGGCCCACGACAGGTGTTCTCTGCAGATGGTAGTCTGAATAAAAGCCATTTGATGACAGCTGAACAGAGAAGCAGGGAGCGTCCTGCAGACAAAGCTGAGGCTGGTACCACAGCCCAGGAGGCTTGCCGGTACCCATCGCCACAATCACGATCCACCTGAGACTCATAACTGCTCTGAGAGGCAGGCAGAGCCACAAGTGCCACCCTCACCCCATGGACACAGAAACCGAGGATCATGGGTTCCTAACAGGGGAAGGAAATTGCTGAGCTTGGATCAGGTGCATGCTTTCTGTTCCAAATTCCATGTTCCCCAGCCAACTCCCAAGGATGTGGCACCGGGCGTCCTAGGTGGAGTCAAGTCACCAGCAGCCGAGAGGTGGGCTCTTCCCGCTTCTGCCTTGTGACCCTTGTGAGCTCTCCCCAAGGACAGGAGCCCCAGGCTCTTCCTGCTCCCCTTTCCCTCCATCCTTCCTGTCTCCCTGGGGGCCCAGGCAGGATCTCTACCTTCAGTCCAGGCAGCCCGGGGGCTCCTAGACCCTCTCCCTCCCCAGTACAGCTGTATCACAATTATGGGTTGAGGCACCACTCAGGATTTCCAGCATTATAACTGCTACTCATCCAACAGGCAGTCGCTGACACTTTGTCACCTGTAGAAAGGTGTATTTGTGGAATAACGGTCTCCTTTTAAACATTTTACTTTGTTTTATTTTTACTTTTTTTTTTGACCTTCCACCTCAGCCTTCTGAGTAGCCGGAATTACAGGCCCGTGTTACCACGCCCGGCTGATTTTTTATTTATTTTAGAGATGAGGTCTCATCAAGTTGCCCGGGCGGGTCTCGAACCCGTGGGCTCAGGTCATCTGCTCACCTCGGCCTCCCAGAGCGCGGGATTCCAGGCTGAGCCACCAAGCCGGCTTTTACTTTGTTTTCTACATGTCTGTCATTAAATCCTCTCAAGCTGCTAAACTCCTCCCCACACCTGGCCACTCGGTCAAATCCTCAGACTGACCTCATCTCCCCTGAAGAGACCCTTGATGGGCTCCTCCCTCCCCAGCAGCTCCCTCCTTTTTCCGGGGCGCCTGTCTTCCTCCCTCGTGGTCGGCTCCCTAGCTGTGGCAGCTCGCTTTCTACAGAGAAAGGCCACGCGGGAAGTCGCATTTTGGGTGCCTCGCATCTGAGAGTGCCCGTCGTGTGCTCCCCTGACCTCACAATCTGAGTGCAGAACCCAGAGTCCGATTCCCTTCCCAGCTCCTGGTCCTGCGTGGCTCGATCTGCTCTCCCTTCCGGGGATCTTCTGGAATCCGTCCTGCCTACTTCGGGGTTCTGGGCTGTGGTGCCGGCACAGGGTGGGCCTTTCGGTCTGGAAACATATTCGCTTGTGGAACTCTCTTGCATTTTTCCTCCATTAATTTCTCCCCTCTGCTTGCTCTCGACCCTCTTCCTGGAACCCCTGCCCGTTAGAGGCTAAGCCTCTCCAGCCATCCTCTAATTATTCCTTTTATCTAGTCTTATCTCAATTTTCTCTCTCTCTTTTTCTTTATGTTTTACTTCCTTGGGGATTTACTCCATTTCACCTACTAATTTTTAAGTTTTTGAAATTCTTGTCCCATCTTTAACCTGCCTCCAAGCGTTCTCATTGGTTACCTGTGTGTTCACCTTTTATAACAATTTGCCGTGTTTGATGGGAACACTTTTTCCTATTACTGCTCAGAGGACTTTAATTTTCGCTTGCAGTTTTTAATTTTGTTTCCAATAATGTCTCCATTTACCCCAAGCTTACTTCTCCAGCAGGTTTGTTTGCCTCTCCTTCTCACTGGGGCTTTCCTCAGAAGCCAGGTGATCTCTGGCTCCCAGGCACACCCAAGACTGAGGCCCCATACCAGTGACTCTGCGGGGATGTTGGTGGGTGGGCTGCTGGCTGCTCTGCACAAGACTGGCCATCTGGCTTTCATCTTGGTGCACTGATCTCTCAAAGCATCTGCAGAGCCAGCTGGGCTGCCCTCCTGGATGGCCATGCACATTCTCTTTCTCAGGGTTCAGGAAGCAGCATGTGGCCAAAATCACTACCTGTGGTACCCAGTTGTCTAGCTTCTCTAAAGGTACCCTAGTCTCCTGGGCCGCTGGAGTCAGAGGGCTGAGCAGAATAGGAAAGGGGACCTGGGACCTAACCTGATCTGGAACAGACTTTCAACTTTCAGTCCCTCTGCTAGTTCTCTATTCCTGCGTTGTTGTTTTTTGGGTTCTGTAGAATGAATCATCTTGCATCTCAGTGGCATTTATCTCAGCAGGTTCTTAATGTTGTACCACTACGTGGCTTTCTTCTTGCAAAATCATGCTGGCCTCTGTAAGTGCTAGGATCCAGGCTCATCTACCAAAGGCCTAGATGACAGCAGCTGAAAACCCGGTGGAGCAGCCTGAGAGACAGCTCCCTGTGTTGGAGACTCAGGCTCTCCTGCAGACTGTTACTCTGTATTCTCAATATATGGCTTTCACCTCAGGGTCTGCCAAGGCTTTGCCATCATGTGTGCATTCCAGCTGGGAGGGAAGGGAGGACAAAGCTCAGGAAGTTCACACACATCTTCCCTTCATATCCTGTTGGCCAGAATGTAGTCACATGCCCTTGTCTAGCTGCAGGGGAGACTGGAAAATGTGGCCTGTACTGGAAGGGCCTGTGTTCAGCTAAAACCTAGGGCTCTGCTAGGAAAGACAACTTCCTTACAAGCAGTGTGTCCTCTCCATCCTCTGTTCTGAGGAGTTGATACTGGTTTTGCTTCTTTTCTTGTCACTTTGGTAGGGCTTGAGGGCAGAGTGCAAATTAATCTATGTGCAAAATGGGCCGTGTTTACCTGAGAGGGCCAGATTGGTTGGCTGGCTTGTGTAAACATCTGCTTCCCATCAGTCTAGCCTTCTAATCAAAAGCAAGCTCCTGGCTGACGGGCCTGCCTCCAGAGCCCCCCACCGCTTGGCGTCCCCTTCTCCCAGAGGCCGGGCTCCCCAGCCCACGGAGAGGTGCTCCTGGCATATGACATGCGGCAGACGACGACTCACTAGCTCTACATGCCGTGTGGCACTGCACAGATGCTCTGGGAAGCTGGAGGAACAAGACGAACTCTGCTTGCTTCCAAGGGCTGGGTGTGAGCTTGCATCATCCTCTCCAGACACACAGACTGTCTCCCACATCGCATGCCTACCTCCAGCTGCAGGAGCTGGCTGGCCTGAAATGCTCCACACTCCCTGTGGGGCAGTATGACACAGCCCAGCCCCGGGCCAGGGCCCATCTCCCATGCAGCCACAGGGCTTGCTCGTGCCCTGCCAGGGGGCCTGTGGAGGCAGCAGGAAAGACTCACAATTCCAAGGAAGCCCGGGACTTCCTTGGCAAGCAGGGTTGGCTTGCATTTATCAGCTCGCTGGACTGTACAGAGAGAACACAGTGCTTTCTTTTTTGCTAGTGGTCCCGTGTAGACAGCAGACAAAAGATGGTCATATGAAATGGACTGAGCCTAGAGGAGGTCCAGGCCCTAGAAGGCAAATTTCAGAAAAAACACAATCATTTAGATTGTTTCCTAAAACTGAAGCCATCAGACGGCACTGCTGTTCCTGCCATGCTGCTCTGTTCCATCTCGGAGTCCCTTCTCCCCAGCCCCTGGCCTAGCCCTCCAGGAGAGGCGGCAGGGTGGAGGATGAATGCCAGGCTTCAGGACAGCTATGCCACCATCTCCACATAGCTTACTACCCCCAGGCAAGATCAGCTGATTCCCAGTTCATTCCTGGGAATTTAAAACCCACCATCTCTGGCTCTTCTAAACCAGGGCTGCAGGAAAGGCAGCCACCATCGTGGGCGTCTTCCTGGAAGACAGACACCCCTGCCCAAGTTCAGAGGCTGCCAGAGCCTATTGTCAGAGGGAAGTGGGTGGTTTATGTCCCTGTCTCCGTGGCAGGGGCAGCATGTCACACTCCTCCCTGGATCTTGGTGACCACCCGAAGCCAGGCATGAAGCAAGAGCTCAGTGCCGTACTGAGCTTCATGAGAAACTTGACATGGGTATTTTTTGTGTGCTTTGTTTTGTATTAGTTGGAGTCTCACTCTGTCTCTTAGGCTGGAGTGCAGTAGTACAATCACAGCTCACTGCAGCCTTGACCTCCTGGGTTCAGGTGATCCTCTTGCCTCAGCCTCTCGAACAGCTGGAACTACAGGTGCAAACCACAATGCTTGGCTAATTTTTTTTTTGTAGAGATGAAGTCTCATTATGTTGCCCAGCCTGGTTCAAGCAATCCTGCATCAGCCTCCCAAAGTGCTGGGATTACAGGCTGAGACATCATACCTGGCAGGTGATTTTTAATCACAGAAAAACACAAGGACAAGGATTCAGGCATAACGTGAACTCACAAGGAGACTGTATGGTTTTGGACACAGGCTTTGTATTCAGACCTACTTGGGCTTGACTCAAAGTTCCACCACTTAATAGCATCTCTTTGAGTCTCAGTTTTCTGACCTGTGAAAGAAATGGCACTATGTCACTCATAAGTAAATATAAAAGTTGGTGAAGAGATGGACCTGGGCTGAGATGGGCATTTGGTTTCCTGCTAGGTCATTTTCTTGTGGTCTCGTTGCTCTTCTCTGGGGATAGCCAGGGGGGTCTGGGCTCCTGCCTCAGGGAAGGGGGTACACAGGAAAACAGTGGGGAACATAAGAGCCAGCTCTCAGGTTTCCAAATAGACTTTTAAAAAATCATAGACTTTATTCATTTAGAGCCGTTTTCATCACATTGGAGCGTACATTTGACAAACCTACACCGGTACATCGTTATCTACCACCCAGAGTCCACAGCTCACAGGAGGGCTCACCCTAGGTGTACCATCTGTGGGGTTAGACCTGCGTCCCCCACTGCAGCCTCATACAGGCAGCTTCACTGCCCTAAAATCCTCTGTGCGCTGCCCATTTATCCCTTAGTCCCAGGCCCTGTAAACCACAGTTTTGCCTTTTCCAGTGTCATAGAAACGCAGAGTATGTGTAGTCTTTTCAGACAGGCTTCTTTCATCGGAAAGATTCCTCATCGGAAAGAACTCATTTAAGGTTCCTCCTTATCTTTTTTTGGCTTGATGGTTCATCTCCTTTTAGTGCTAAATAATGGCCCTTGTCTGGATGTACCACAGTTTATCCGTTGACCTACTGAAGAACATTTTGGTTGCTTCTAAGTTTGACAATAATGAATAAAGCTGTTAAAAACATCTGCATACAGGTTTTTGTATAGACATAAGTTTTCAAGTCCTTTGGGTAAACAACAAGGAGTGTGGTTTCTGGATTGTATGGTAAGAGTAAGATTTGTTTTGTAAGAAGCTGCCAAACTATCCTCCAATGTGGCTGTACCATCTTGCATTCCCAGCAGCTCCTGAGTTCCTTTCAGTTCACAGCCTCCCCAGCATTTGATGTGAGTGCTTTGGGGTTTTTTTGTGTAGTGGCATCTTGTTGTTTTAATTTGCATTCCCCTGATGACATATGATGTGAAGCATCTTTTCATATACTTGTTTGTCATCTGTATATCTTCTTTCGTGAGGTATCTGTTCAGAACTTCAACTCATTTCTTAATTGGGTTGTTCATTTCTTCACTGTTGACTTTTTAAGAGCTATCTTAGATAAAAGTCCTTTATCAGGTATATCTTTTGCAAATATTTTCTCCCAGTCTGTGGGTTGTCTTCTCATTCTCTTGATAGTGTCTTTCACTGAACAGAAGTTTTGATTTTAATGAAGTCCAACTTACCAATTATTTCTTTCATGGAACTTGCTTTTGATATTGTATCTAAAAGTCATCACCATACTCAAGATCATCTCGTTTTTCTCCTATGTTATCTTGCAAAAATTTTATAGTTTCACATTTTACATTTAGGTCTATAATCCATTTTGAATGCCTTTTTGAATGGGGATGTAAGGTCGGTATCTAGATTTTTTTTTTTCAGTTGTCCTAGTACCATTCGTTGAAAAGACTATCCTTTCTCTATTGAGTTGCCTTTGCTTCTCTGTCAAATCAGGTGACTATATTTGTATGTGGGGTCTATTTCTGGGCTTTCTATTATGCTACTATATTGTCTATTCTTCTTCTTTGTCATCGTCGACTTCTTTTTTTTTTTTTGAGTTGGCGTCTCACTCTGTCGCCCAGGTTGGAGGGCCATGGCACACTCATGGCCACTCCAGCGTTGACCTGCTGGGCTTCAGCAATCCTTCCACCTCAGCCTTCCAAGTAGCCAGAACTACAGGTGCACACTACCACACCTGGCTAATTTTTTTTTAATTTTTGCTTTTTTATTGTAGAGACGAGGTCTCGCCAAGTTTCCCAGGCTGGTCTTGAACCTGCAGGCTCAGGCAATCCACTCGCCTTGGCCTCACAAAGTGCTGGGATTACAGGCTGAGTCACTGAACCCGGCCATTTTTTTTTTTTTTTTAAGAGACAAAGGTCTTACTCTGTCACACAGGCTGGAATGCAGTGGTGCAAACAAGGCTCACTATACCCTCAACCTCTTAGACTCAAGCAATCCTTCTGTCTAAGCCTCCTGAGTAGCTGGGATATTATAGGCACATATCACTATGTTTTTTAAAATTTTTTTGTACAGATGTGGTTTTGCTATAATGTCTAGGCTGGTCTTGAACTTCTGGACTCAAGCAATACTCCTGCCTCGGCCTTCCAAAGTGCTGAGATTACAGGTGTAAGCCACCATGCTACTTATTCTTATGACAAAAACCACACTGTCTTACTACAGCTTTATAGTAAATCTTAGAGTAGTGTCAATCCTCCAACTTTGTTCCTCTCCTTCAATGCTCTGTTGGATATACTGGGTCTTACTTATCTTCACCATATAAACCTTAGAAACAATTTCTCAATATCCAACAAAATAATTTGCTGAGATTTTGATTGTGATTGCATTAAATCTAAATAAAGATCAAGTTGGGAAGAACAGACTCTCAACAATCTTGAGTCTTCCTATTCATAAACATGAACTATCCGTCCATTTATTTAGTTCTTCTTTGATCTCTCTCATTAGAGTTTTATAGTTTTCCTCATAGAGATTTTATACACATTTTGTTAGTTATACTCAGTACTTTTGGGGTGGTAACGTAAATGGCATTATGTTCTGGATCTCAAATTCCACATGTCAATTTGTGGTAAACAGGAATTAGATTGATTTTTGTATATTAACCTTATAATCTACAGCCTTTCTATAATCGCTTATGAGTTCCAGAAATTTTGGGGGTCAGTTCTTTGAGAATTTCTACATAGATAATAACGTCATCTGAGAACAAAGACAGTTTTAATTCTTCTTTCCCGATCCGTACACCTCTTTTTCCTTTTCTTGTCTTACTGCACTAGAGAGGAGTTCCAATTTAGCACTGAAAGGCAGTGCTAAGAGGGACATCTTTGCCTTGCTCCTGGTCTTAGGAGGAAAGCTTCTAGTTTCTCTTCATTTAGCATGATGCTAGCTGTGAGTTTTTTGTAGATGTTCTTTATCAAGTTAAGGAAGCTCCTCTCTATTCCTAGTTTGCAGAAGTTTTTATCATGATGGCTGTTGGGGTTTTGTCAGATGCTTTTTCTGCATATAACCAAGTGATTTTTCTCCTTTAGCTTGTTAATGTGATGGATTACGTTAATTGATTTTTGAATGTTGAACCAGCCTTGAACATCTAGAATGAATCCTACTTGGTTATGGCGTGTAGGTGTTCTTATACGTTGTTGGATTCAACTTGTGAATGATGAGGGCTTTTGCATTTATGAGAGGTATTGGTCTATAGTTTTCCTTTCTTGTAATCTTTGTCTGGCTTTGGCATTAGGGTAATTTTCACTTCACAGAACGAGCTAGGAAGTTTTCCCTCTGCTTCTATCTTCTGGAAGAGACTGTAGAAAACTGGTATAATTTCTTCCTTAAATGTTTAGTAGAATTCACCAGGGTCTGTGCTTTCTGTTTTGAAGATTATTAATTCTTGGTTCAATCTCTTCAACAGATACAGGCATATTCAGATTGTCTACTACTTCTGTAAGTTTTGGCAGATGTCGTCCTTCAAGGAATTCATCTATTTCACTGAAGTTACCAAATCTATGGGCTTAGAGATGCTCAAATAGACTTTTGAGTCCATAATCTGAAAAATGGGTTGAGACACAAATGCTTTGAAGCCTCACGAGGTAGGGTTTTGGGTGCCCAGGGGCAAGAGTGTGCACATAAACGCCAGATTTAGAGAGGTTGAAAACTTACCTAAGGCTCATTAAAAGTTTCTCACGTTGGAGAAAGGGGATCTGAGGAGAAAGGTCAAAGTCGCACTGGGCAGGGGTCTCCATGAGGGACCCCTGCCCTGCCTTCACTCCCCTCTCCCAGCCCTTCCTGGGCTCCAGGACAGATGGAACCTGCGACGTGTGTGCGCACAGGAAAGCAGGGACCACTTTGGCCCATGACAGTGCTGCTTGCTCTTGGGCAGCCTGGACACAGCCCAGTACCAGCCTCACCTGGGGCAGGGGCTAGAAGCTGCTGCCTCAGGTCAGGGCACGCCAACCAGGAACAGCCCACAAACCAGGGCCTTGGGTCGCCTGGGAGGACAGCCCAATGCTCTCCTGGCTGTGAGAAGGGTGAGGAGCCAGGTGTCCAGATGTCCGCTGCCCAAGAGGGCAGCTGCGTCCTCTAGCTACCTGGATGGGCTGGCTATGCATCAGTCAGGGAGAAAGGAGGTCCTTCATCACTGCATTACTCTCGTAAGCCAGGACATTCCAGGAAGACAGCAGGTGCTCATCAATATCTGTTGAACTGACGGCTGCCATCAGTGGCTCGGTGGGAAGACAGTTAAAATTCAAATCATTCAGGAGAGATTTCCCAAGCAGTTCTGCATAGGAGGCTCTGGGGCAGGAGTGTGTGATTTCCGTGAACATCAGTCTTCCCTGTGCAGACACTGAGGCGGCAGCCATGGTGGTCCAGGCTGCTGTGGCCAGGCCCTCTCCACAGCAGCATCCTTCATGGCCCAGCCCTGGGCCCACAGTCGGGCTCTGCTGAGTATGAAGGACCCCGCAGATGAGTGGGGTGGACTGGTCCCCAGTCTCTGCCACTAGGCTGCTGCTCCTGCCATCAGATACCATATGTTGAGATGCTGAGGTCCCATCAAGTGGCTTGACACACTTGAGGGCTCACACCTTCGACTTAACGATTTCCTGTTGTCTGCCCAACCGTTATTCTGGGACAGCCCGACACTAGAAGACACATTCAACACATTCCAACAATTTTAGAGAATGCATGTTCTGAAAAGGCATAGCGAGTTCCCTTCGTTTTTAATAAAACAATTTTTAATATGGAGCCAACCAATACTTACAGTTTCCAAGTCCTGGTCAGCCTTCTTTATTTCCTCCAGTGGGGTCGCCCCATGGAACTTTTGTCTTCGTTCATGCATTTGCTGTATGTGCTGTTTTATCTTCTCTTCTAAATTTCCCTCTTGGAGGGCACTGAGAAAACAAAGGGCAACCGAACAATAAGGAAAATGCCCACATTTAATCTAGTCCTAGCAATCCTCTTCTAATCTGGCTGCGGTCCTGAGACTCCCATGGCTGCGCCATGGTTACCCTGGCCTCCTAGACGCCCATCCTCCTCCAGTCACTACCCCCTGGAGTCTGGGCTCCTCTCCCATCCCTGCTTCAGTAGTTTCGAAGCTGCCGGAACACACACTATACTTTGTATAAACATTATTTAAGACAGGGCACATTTAGGACACTGCACACTGTCCCTCATGCAGGAGAACAGCATGTCTTTATTTTCACATGAAATACACAGTTTCACCAAATGCTTAAATAGAGGAATGGAAAAATTATAATAAATTAGGATTATAAACACATTTTTCCTGTTAGCGTTGGGACTTGGGATTGATTTTCTTTGATTTTAAATACAGTGATACAGTGACTTAGAGTGGCAGAAAGAGACCCAATAATCTGTTGCTGCATGGTCTACTTCAGTCGATGTAAGCATAGAGCCCTGGGGTGTGGGGTCCACCCGTAAGCACAAGCTTCCCTGAAGACCACCTGACCCCCAGCTGCAGGATTTGTGCTGACTGCGCTTGCTCTCCAGAATAACTGTGAAAAAGAACGCAGCATCCTCGTAATGACTGCAGAACACCGCCCCCAGAGCAGGGTGCATACTGTGTCAGGACCCAGACTCCTGGTTCTCACTGTGCCCAGGTTGATGGGGGGTTGGTGGGCGAGGTTTTTTAAAGGCCAATGACAGCAATATAGACCCCCTGGAGGACGAAAGAGAACACTCGAATGTTTTAGACTGAATGGTTTTAGTTGAAACTGCTTTCACGTGGCTGGGGAGTTAACCCAACCTATCTGACCTTTGAGATTATCCCCAAACATTCTCGGCACCTGTGAGAAACAAACTCTGCAGAAACAGAACATTGCCCTTTGCTCCCACATCTCACTCCTCCTCAGCTCAACTTTCCACCAGCTTTCTCAAGTCACACAGGGGACCCAGGGGTCATTGCACAGACTGAGTGGGGAGCCGTGTGGGACATTTGGGCTGAGCAGCGGGACCAGGGACCGGGCCCAGGCCTCCCAGGCTCAGGCTCCATGGCTCCCTCCTGCTCTGGCTCCTGAGCCTAGCAAAAAGGGCCCAGCCAGGGAGCCAGTGTGTGAAGTGCCCTGGCAGCAAGGCTTAGTTTGGGGTGGTCTTTACACCCACCACGGTTTCAGAGAAGCTGGGGAGGATGAGGGGCTCAGTGTTCATTCCCAGGGAGCAGATGCTAAATCAGCTACAAAAGTTGTGAGCACGGGAAAAACAAAGGGAGGCATGCTGATGAGGCGAGAAGGGTTAACACCCCGGGACCCCAGGCAGCTCTGTTCCCTCCTTCACACCTAAGCCCTCCACCTCGCCTCGATGGCACCCAGGGACCCAGCTTCCATCCTTGTGCCCCCGACTTTGCTCTCCGTGTGCCAGGCTCTGTGGCGAGTGCCCTGCTCTGTGGACGCCCCCCAACCCCTGCGCCACTCTCAGTCCTCCTCAGCCCACCTGCTCTGTCCATCCCTATTCCTCAATCCAAGGGCGAGGCTCTGGCTGCTGCTCTCTCCCATGTGCCAGTCCCAGGCTGGCATCAGACTTCTTGCATATCCCTCCCTGCTCTCCTGAACTCCAGGCCCCAGTGTGGCCCACTGATGATCCCGGATGGACCAGCAGCTGCTCACCTCTCTTGGGGATGATAGTGCCACCTGCCTAGCAGCCTGGCCGCCACCCAGCCAGAGACTCAAAATCTAAAGTGTTTCAAGCGCTGGGTTCAAGTGTTCCTCCCTCCCATGGTCACTATCTTGGCCAGATACCCTTTGCTTGTGTCAACAGCCATCCTTGCTACCTTGCACAGCATCCATCACGAGGAGGCCTAAATGACCGTGCAGGTCAGGTCTAAGAAAGCCAAGGCTGGAAGACGTGAGATTAGAACTCAGGACATGAGATGGCCTGGGGAGGCAGCAGCTCCCCTGGAAGGACTGGATCACAACCACAGTTACCAACCTCATTTCTCTGCTTGTTCGTGAAGGTTTCTCTTTGCTCTGTTTTGTTGTCCCAAATGGATTCCTTGGTATTTTCCCATCATCTATCAGATCTGTGGCAAAGGGAATCTTTGATGTCGCCTAGGAGAATGCAATAACACGATTTCAGGAATCCCAGCAGACACACTTGGCTTCTCTCATCCATGAAGAGGTGGACCAGTGGCCGTCTAGAGGGGGACAGTCTCTGTGCACTGTGGTCATCACCCTACGCCTTGGCTAACTCTTGTTCCCACCTCAGATCTCAGTCTGGACATCTCTTCAGAAGCCTCCACAACAGCCCAGGCTGGGGTAGGAGGTGTGCACACGTGTGTCTGTGTTCGGGGATCAGAGATCAAAGGATGACAGAAACAGGTAGGCATGAGGTCTGGGGCACAGGAGAGATGAAACTCTCACTGGGGTCCTGCAGTGTGGAGGTCAGCAGGGCCAACATAGCGTTTACCTAAATGACGCCTAGAACTGTTTTACCTGGCATTCTCTCCTCTAACTGAATTTCCAGGGCTGTGACCTCATCGGTCTGATCAGCAGTGCAGAGTGAGGAGATCCCGGGTAGGCCTAGAAGGCTGCTGCAGGTAATCCCCTGAAATTCTGTTAACGTGATGGATATAAAGCACACTCTTTGATATGGGTCCCAAGATTTTCCTACAGATGGGATATTTTAAACTAGTGATTTTAATCACTAGTTTCAAGCTCATACATAAATGCTAATACAAATAAAGTGAGAAAAACAGAAAAAGTCTTTTTTTTTTTTTGAGTTGGAGTCTCACTCTGTCGCCCAGACTAGAGGGCAGTGGCCGCTCCCGGCCACCGCAGCCTTGACCTGCTGGGCTCCGGCGATCCTTCCGCCTCCGCCTTCCAAGTAGCTGGAACTACAGGCGTGCGCTACCACGCCTGGCTAATTTTTTATTTTATTGTAGAGATGAGGTCTCACCAAGTTGCCCAGGCGGGTCTGGAACCTGCAGGCTCAGGCAATCCACTCACCTCAGTCTCCCAAAGTGCTAGGATTACAGGCTGAGCCACCAAGCCCAGCTAGAAAAAGTCTTATAAGTTAGAAAGCCTATATCATAAAGTTTACAGATCTTAGATCAATGGCTTAATAAACTGGCACAAATAAACTGAAAATCTGGAAGCAGTTCTTAGTGTTGTTTTTTTCTGATAAAGACCACTGCAGTTCCGAGTAAAACATGCAACTTCCAAACGTATCTAAGAAGGCAGGCCTTAGCTGCACCCCACTAACTAGCCGTCCACCTCCCCCAAAAATCAGAGGCAGCTAACCATGGTTTCTATGTGGGTCCACGAGCCCTGGGGCCGAATAAACTAGACGGCAGGTTGAAAGTTTGGTCAACAGGTCACTGCCACTTTCCAGCGTTGCATAAAGGATATATTCCTAGCCTTTCCTACTCACTGGCTCAGTCTGATGTGTGCAGATTTTACTGGGTCTGGGAGATGGCCATGGGGGCAGCTTGTAGCAAGGGCGGCTCAGCCTGGGAGGGAGGAAAACATGCTCTTGGTAACAATGTATAGATCCTGGCAATTTACTGAAAACGCAACAAACTCCTTAAAACTTCTAAGTTATAGCACTGTGCTGTGTGTGTTCAGACAGCACTACTATTGCTAGGATGTTCACTATTTCTAATGGCCTGCAGACACTACCACATAGATTTCTGGTCACCTGGGCCTTAGCATGCCTCATCTGGATTTCCTCATCTCTGTCTCATATGCTGTCCCTTGTCCCCATTTCTGGTCACGGCGCAGAAATGAAGCATGCCTGGTACCCTTTCCCTGGTGTTCCCGGCCCCATGATCCTGGAAAACCCTTCCCCTCCTCCCTCCGTGTGCCACATCACATCTGGTCAGATTCCTTGCTCCCCTAAACCACCTCCTAAGCAGTGGTGGTCCCCAGCCCTCCCTCCTCCCATGAGCAGGTACGCCCACTCTGAGTTAGTCTTTCGGAGACGTCCCTCTGCCTGGGACCTGCCCGATGGAAAGCTGTCTGCCCAGCTGCACTTCCCCTGCTCTGCTCAGGGTCCCCGGATGAACCTAGTGATGTGCTCACTCCCTTTCCCTCCCGAGGACGCAGAGCCTGTGCTGCCCTCGTGTTCCGGCACTCCCTCCGGCTCCAGTCACTGCAGCCTTCCGCAGGCGCCACCTTGCCCCGGGGGGCCCCTGATCTGTTTGTGCAGCTTCAGCGCCAGAGGCCGGGGGGAGGGGGGGAGAAGGACAGACAAAACTCTACACTTGCCAAGATAAGCAGCCTGGGCAGGAGGGGGCGCACACAGGTGCTGCTCGCTGCTGCCCCCGTGGACAAGCCTGAGAGCCAAACCAACCCCGCCCTGACCCTTTGGGCTGTGTGTGTGCATGTGCACACAGGCGTGCACGCGTGTGTCTGTGTCTGGGGACTGTCAGAGATCAAAGGATGACAAAACAGGCAGCCACGAGGCCTGGGGGACAGGAGAGATGAGACGCTTACCGGGGTCCTGCGGTGTGGAGGTCGGTAGGGCCAACACAGCGTTTACCTAATGACGCCGAGAACTGTTTTACCTGGCATCCTCTCCTCTAACTGAACTTCCAGGGCTGTGACCTCGTCTGTCTGATCACCAGTTTGACTAGTCCATGCCCGACACTTAGAAGGTGCTGAACAACCAGGGAGGGAGGAGCGAGGCGCAGGAATCACCCTCACCACCTCAGAGAAGTGAGGATGCAGGGCCACAGGCGGCAGAACGCTCCCTGCTGACTGAGAACTGGCACCTTTTCAGTGAATCAGGATTTGCCCAAAGATTATTCCAACAGAAAGAAAAGAACAAATGCTAAATCCAGTAGGTGTTTTTGTTTCTTTTCAAGTCAGACATTTAATTTTATTTTTAAAAATGTGAAAAGCATGTATTTGGAAAGAAGCCCATCCAGCCACACTTTGCTGCTACTATAAGAGACAGAGAAGGAAGGCTTGTTCAAATATCCAGCTCTCTGATGAAGAAGCAAAGACTTAAGCAGGGACAGGAAACACGAGAAAATGAAGAGCAGGATGCCTTTCTGCAGCTCTGAGGGCGCTACGCCAGGTTTGCATCCTGAGTGTCAAATGTGCAGCTGGTCTTAAGGCCCAGAACATGGATTCAAAAGTCACTGGCAAAGCTGCCGGTTTGAGCAAGATGAAAAGCAGAAATGCCAGGCTTTTTACCAAGTGGGTGATAAATCAAGACGCTCCTGCGAGGCTGCCAGCAGGTCTGTATCTTGGGAGCCATTTCGGCAGCTGGAGTCTCAAGACTCCCCGTGCTGTCGAAGGGGCACGGGTGTGACCAGCACAGGGACCGAGCAGCCGAGGCCAGGGCCAGGCCGCAGAACAGCGGCCCCCGGGCCTCCCCAGGCTCACCTCACCCCGCCTGGCCCCATGGTGCTGCTGACGCCGGGGCTCCACTCGAGCAGCAGCCCAGAGCCCGGCGTGGAGCCGTGGCGCCCTCTTGTGTCCTCCTGCCCAGCCGCAGGGAGCCAGCACGGGCTGGAGACTGGCTGGAGACGGCCCTCCCCAGCAGCAGGGACAAGGCCCTCGGTGGGGCGCTTCCCTGCTATGCAGTCCCTCTACCACAACTTGGAAGCACATACCTGTGCACGTTATAGGCTTGTGACCTTTTCACTTTTACTTCTGTGCAACGGACTCCTAAACATGCTCAAGTAAGTACACCTTCTTAACTCCAACAGGCATTTTCTGAGCAGCTGGTGACAGCTGCCACAGCAGTGAGTGGGAGCAGCCACCCCACAGCCTCCCTCCCGTGCTCCGTCACCGCCTCCCCGTGCCCCCTCATGGCTGCCTCACGCTCCACCACCTTCCCATACTCCATCATCACTCTGCTCCTTCTTGCCGACCTCACAGGCAACTGGTACACCATGTCCAGCCCACATCTCCGAAGCAGGCCGAGCACCTTCTCTTGTATTTACAGCCATTTGGAATTACTCTTCGGTGAACTGCCTGCCACACTTTTTGCTTGCTTTTCAAACTGGATTCTTTGATTTTTAAAGAATCAATGTGTAACCATTCCTAATATATTAGATCTCAATGTTTAGGCACAAATATTTCCCCTTTGACTTTGAGTATCCTGTTCTGGGCCACACAGAATATTCTGCCAGCATCTGGAGTGACACAGGCCTGGGAGGATGGCCCCTCCCCACCACGTACTCGGCTGCCCCATCCAGGGTGTGTGGGGTGTACATGACAGCAGCCAGGTACCACAGCGTCCCTGCTCGCCACCACCTTCCCTCCCAGCACGCGACACAGCCTGCCTGTCCATCACCACTACCCACTCAGTGCCTGCTCCCCTACTAGCACACAAGCTCCCTCGGGCAGGGCCCTGTGCCCTGTCCCTCCCTGCATGAGCAGGCCAACGACATTTGCTGACTGAACTGGTCTATCTCATGATAGGCATGCTTCTAGAAAAGATATCTTTTCTTCCTTAAGAAGCTACACAGCTTCTTCAGTGCATGTACTCTTACTGTGACAGTCTCAGGAATCAGAAGTGCACACTCTGACGCTATCCCTCCTCCCCCAACCCCAGTCACAGCTCTTTTTTTTTTTTAGTTGGAGTCTCACTCTGTCACCCAGACTGGAGTGCAGTGGCAGCTCCTGGCCACCGCAGCCTCGACCTGCTGGGCTCCGGCGATCC